GAAAGTAGCCAAACGGCGCACTACCACACATTTAAGGGCCGGAGGTCGAGTCTCAGCCCAGGACAACCGTCCCTAAATCCATACCAACGCGGTTAACCAATTCCAGACTCATCTGGGAGAACGAATGCACTGAATTATACATCGGCTAACATCCACAAGTTTTAGTACATCCCACGTATACAAACATAACGCTACCACGATTCTGAATGGAAATTGAGTGCAGTAGCGTATTCCAAAAATGGGATTGATCATGCCCCAAAACCTTTCGTCCTGATAGATATCCGAGTGCACTGAACCTATTTGGCGAATAATTTTTTAGCCTCCCCTTTCCCGGATCATAAGACTAACAATAAGCCGTGAAACGCGGTGAGACAACTAGCTAGTGAATGGTACACAGCTCTGGCTCAAAACTACCGCTTTTCAAGGATAAACTGAACAGACCTTGACATCAACACTTTCGTGGCCCTTCTGGACAGTATGGGACCGATCTGCTGAATCAGTTATCCAATTTTCAGACACTGATGGTTCCGACAGTACACCACCGACCGTTCCAAGGATGTTACATGTGAGAATAAGCAACTCCTGGAAGAGCGGCGTAATCGAATAAGTACTGTAAAAGCCGGTAGTTGCAAATCTAATGACATAGTTTCAAAAAAAAAATCTGAATAAGTGGAGAAAAAGGAGTCAGAACAAGTTACCTGTTCATGAGCTGTCAGCTGAATGGTCCACGCTTTGAAGCATAGCGAACGAAGACGACCATCAACCCCGGACGACTGCAATATGACCGCAATGGTGTAGAGGAATGCATGCAGATGTTGAACCATTTTTGCTATAAAGAAACAAAATTACAGAACAGCTCATGGCCAATCATACAACTGCTCATACGCAACCCGAATTCTCTCGAACACCGACATTGACAAATTCTTCCTATCAAATTTCTTTTCAGACCCTGGGTGGAGCTATGACAAAGGATCTACCAATTATGGGCGTAATTCCTCGCTGACCAACCATTTTCTCCCTGAGCTATTTTTCGCAGAATAGTAGGAAATCCTACTTGAACATGGACTGGCTCTATGAGTAAAATAGGCGCCAAAGTACCTGGGCAATTTTGAATGGGAGTAAAGTATGTAGAGAATCCAGATGTGAAAAGGGTGGTGCAAGAGTTTACCTTCAGTTTGAGCAAGCTTTGGAGCGTGGAGCGTCACGAACCCAGGTGGTCAACTATGTCTTTCCATTCCGGAACAAAAACACTGACTTGCCTAGCCCCACCACCCAGGTCGATTACAGATTGAAATGATTCCGTGCGGAGTCAAACGCATGGACGCACCACAAAACAGGTTGGTCAGTCCCAGAAACGAGCTGTCAAATATCTCATACTGAGCAACACCCTCGAAGATTGTATGTGGGTGTTTCTTGAAATGTAATCGAGCTTGTCTGGATTAAGAGAGATGTCAACACTTTCATGTTCACCTGCCAATGGTCCAGCCAGGAAGCATAATCTCCATGGATGAGGAAGTACTCGCACTACCTGTGGAGATACTATTTCGGAAAGTGAACTGTACGATGAAAGCGCTGTCAGGTACTGCAGGATGATGTCGGAAACGCTGAAAGAAAATATGTAAATAAAACAAAAGATTATGATCTGCTGAATCTGCAAAAGTCTCCGAGCAGTTTCTGAAAAAAAAAA